ACAAAAAGCTTAGAATGAGTTAAATAATGCGGGCGGTTCGATTTGAGCGATAAGTAAATTAGTCTTGCTCTTCATTTGGTCATTAGTTTCGGTGATGAGCCGATTCTAGCAGCTGGGTTAATCCTGGAAGACGCGATAGATTACAGCGTAAAAGAACAGTATGAGAAAAGAAAGTAAGAGTGAGATAAGACGTTTAAGTGCTGAAACATGGCGGAATTTATTAGTAATGCTACTCTTTCCAACACTTATTAGGTTGCTTCTAGGCAACCCATCCTCGCGATCCATGTATGGATTGGTGTAGAAAAATGATACATATTTCGAATAGCCTACATTTTCTTGATTTCCACGATTTCCTTCTTCTGTGGCCTTATCAATCTTTTAATCTACAAAAGTTTCGGTAACGGTCGTGATAAAGAAGTACCAGCCCTTTGTTGAAATTAGCATGTACCCCATTTTTTTGCACAGCTGCACGTAAAAGGGACTTTTCTTGGTACTGTTCGAGATGAGATTCACTGATGCCGATTGACGGTTTTAGGAAGACTCACGTCATTTAGCACTGATGATGAAAAAATTAAAAAAACCAAGAGTAGTCCCGAAGGTAGTAGTTCGGCCGAAAAGCTTTATACCTATTGCAAAGTGAAAGGCTTGTCTTATGAAAATGGGGAAAAACAATGAACACGATAATGAGGATGACAAATGCTTTCGTGAAACACGGAGACTATCTTGGTTTCGTCTGGAATCGTGGTTATTTGGGAATGTACTGGATACATCTAGGGAACCAGCCCTGGCAGACCATCAATTTCTCCCGTGATTCATAAGAAATGTTACCCAAATCATTTTTTAAGCCAGAGAATTTTTTTTTTTTTTTTGTGCAAACGCAACCACAGTTTTTACGGTACTTTTCTAAGATCACATATGAGCAAGAACATTCTCAGCAGGAGCGGGTCCAGAGTTTTATTTAAGGCAAAACAGAACAACACAGGAGTTGGTGCTTGGATACTATTTTTAGCACTCGAGAGGCGTTTGGGTTAAAGAATGCATGTGGGCGAGGAAAGAAGTCTTTGTTTTTGAAAATTGTGGGGTTTTTTTTATAAATTTGGGGATTCATAAACTTTGGTTGAAAGCAGAAACCCTTTTTCTCGGCATCATAAGCTTTTCCCACCAAATTTCGACACCTTTCGGTCCTGTACCTGCAACGAAATGTTCGTTCGTCTTGCCCAGATTCTCTAACCACAGTGGTGTTTACTGCTATCCAAGAAACTGGTGCGTTATGAAGGTTATGAAGTTCTGAACCGGTTTTATCACATTTGCCACTGACTTTCGAAAAACCGAGTAAAATAAGAATTGCGTTTCAGGATGGGCGTCGTGCTTATTTAATTAGGATTTAATTAAAGTTTGTGGTATAGGCTCCTACAACGTCAGAACAGCTCTTGGCCCGGATCTATTTTCATCATCAACTGCAGTTAACTGAAATGAGAGAAGCAAATTCCAATGCATTTGTAGGTGTTTCGGAAAATATTATGCTAGGACAGCTGGCTCGGGCTGGAACTGGGTGCTTTGATTTGGTGCTAGATGCGGACAAATGCAAATTGGCGATGGAAATACAAACGGGTGGTGGATTGCTTGGTGCGGGTGGCCTATTTTACGGTGGTGCAATGTCTCCTGCCAGGTAGTCTTTGTTGGTATATAATTTTCACTTTTTCCGTTTTTGCTTTGTGTGTATTTGAAGATCTACGTTGGGTTCATGGTACTTTTGATAAGCTTACTATATCGTCCGGGTTGACCTTGGATGCCAAAGTGTCGAAGACGTACTGGATACACAAAGCAGGAAAGAATGAGGAAAAGAGGCAAGAATGAGATAAATTGGGGCTTCTTAACCACTAAAATGTTCTAACTTAGTGCTGGAATGTATGTAACAAGCTGAATCGAAGCTTCTCAGGTCCTCAAATTACAAATGTATAACTCTTTTTTACGTACTGACGACAACCGCTTTCTGAGGTGAGGAGCGGAGAAGGGGGCTTTTGTGAAGGTTGCTTGAAAACAAGCTGATGGCTGTTTCGGCATTTTTGAAATTAAAACGAATAAACCGACGTAAAAAGTAGTTTATTTTGCATTTTTTCGATTTTTTTTAGCTACTGTACATTTAGCTCATCAATGAGTCCGGCGCAAACACCATGGAATGCTGGAACAACGCCTGGCTACGGTGCCGCATGGAGTCCGGCTACTGGTTCCGGAATGACGCCTGGTGGAGCTGGATTTTCGCCTTCAGGCCACAGTGAGGGTGGCTTTTCGCCTTACAGGTTTCCTTACCTTTGCAAATTTTTAGTTTTTGTTTTTTTAATTTTTATAGAATGATCATATTAACGACTTTTTCTTCCTTTTGTAAAAATGGTATTTTCAGCGGTACCGGAAGCTGGAGTCCAGGGTCGCCTGGTGGATCGCTTGGAGGAATGTCACCTACCGGCGCCGGTGGTTATTCACCAGCAGCAAGTGATTATGGCTCGGGGCTGGAAGGGTTGAGTAGCCCTGGCTATTCGCCCACCAGTCCAGCCTCTCCGTACGGGGCTACATCGCCTGCATATGGTGTGATTAGTCCACGTTATTCACCAACAAGTCCAAGTAAGTTTGCCAACTATCATGATTTTAGCTTGCCCTTGTTCTGCCCATCTACGTAATCACTTTCTGAATGTACTCATCGGATCAAAAATTGGAATTCTAATAGCCACTCAGATGATTTCCAGTCCATATTTTCTTTTTTTAAATTCTGGTTTTGAATTACACTAAAGGATACCAATGCCATCTTTACGGAAGCAGATGTTACCAACAAACAGTTTTTGATATCTGCGATTTTTGTGAATATTTTAAACCCTGTTTTGGAAATTTTAAATTTTAATGGAATTTTATTTCTGTGGGCTTTTTTATTTATACTGGGTAGATTTATTAAAATTCGATTTAACGTTGAGCTAATTTATGCTTTTTTTTAAAATTAACTGTTTTATGTTTCAGGCTATTCACCAACTTCTCCAAGCTACTCACCAACATCGCCAAGCTACAGCCCTACCTCGCCAAGTAAGCTGCTTATTTTCTAAATATTACTAACGGCAGTGTAAGTAACTTTAAAGCAATTATTCCCTTTTTTCCTAAAAAATGGCTCTGCGGGTTTGTGTTTTCTCGAAAATAGAGTTGGACCCTCACGTTTTTCATACATTCACACATGTTTACTTTTCCTTTTTTTTTCTGGATACATTTGATTCGGTACCAGTACAGAACTAACTGATTTTGTTATCTTGCCTTTAATTATAGGTTATTCACCGACATCACCAAGCTACAGCCCAACGTCACCAAGTTACTCGCCGACCAGTCCCAGCTATTCGCCTACGTCACCGTGTAAGTCCTCTTTTCTGGATAATTGCTTGGATGATTTTTTCTATGTTTTTAATTGTCCTTTTCCTAAGATCAGCACCGCTGGCAACTTCTCCATTCCACTAATGTGGTTATAAAGATATATTTTTGTGTTTTTATTAGAAAATCTGTGAAATATTTAAACTTTATTTTGCAATGTAAGCCATTTTTTTTGCAGCTTATTCGCCGACGTCTCCGAGCTATTCACCAACATCACCCGGTT